TGTGTGTGTGTGTGTGTGTGTGTGTGTGTGTGTGTGTGTGTGTGTGTATGTGTGTGTGCTGATGCCAAATGGGCATGACATACTATCACTTCGTGCTATCGCAGGACGAAAATATCTTTAATGAAAGTTGAGCAGTCTTCACAAAAGAGACATCCTGAAAGAACAGTTGAGGAGTGGTGACTTCAAATGTCCCTCTCCTTCGGTTAGAAAGATTTGTCCTTTGGGCCTCTGTGAGCTTTTCTTATTTCGGCTAGTAAGATTTCCTTCCTGCCAAAAACACATAAAAACTCACAAAGCCTCAGGTTCCTGAATTCTTACACACAGTCCTTGTCATGTAAACATGTTTAAATACTGAGTAAAAATAGTGTAATCAAAAGATACTATTTTTTTTAAAGATTTTATTATGTATACAGTATTCTGCCTGCATGCCAGCAGAGGGCACCAGATCTCATTCAGGGTGGTTGTGAGCCACCATGTGGTTGCTAGGAACTGAACTCAGGACTTCTGGAAGAACAAACAGTTAGTGCTCTTAACCGTTGAGCCATCTCTCCAGCCCCCAAAGATACTATTTTTAATAACGACGCCTGGGCTGAAACAAGAGCAAGCGTGGGTCATGGTGAAAAACCTGAAAAGTTTATTTTGGTAGACTTTGCTTTATAGGCATTGGTTTACAGTAATTCTTTTCAGAGACGGTTCCCTGAAAAGCTAAAAAGTAGGATAGCAAAGATTTACATTGCTGTTTATTTCAAAGATGCATAGTGATGAGCCAGGAATGAGGATGTCCATTTCTGGCTGGTCAGGAAAGAAAGCCCCTCAGGTTCCCCTCTTGCGTTCTGGAACTGCTGGGTGAGATAGGCCACGGGACTACCACACAGTGTGCTAGGTGGAGGGGAACCTCCAGAGTCTGTGGTCCCTCACAAGACAGGCTTGGGTCACATTGGGTCACCTCATCGAGAATAGTGGGATCCACAGGACACATGTCAGCCACTTCCAGCTCTCCCAATCAGGGATCCCTCATTGCTTTAGCTGGGGCATGTGAAACCCAGCTTTTGCTGTGTTTCAAACGGGGGGGGGGGGGGGTGGGGGTGGGAGTGGGGGGTGGGCTGTGTGGGTGTGATAAGGAGGCAGCTTTGTGTCAGGAGTAGCCTGGTCTAAAGCATGGGCAGATTTTGAGTTGGGTGGCCACATCTCAAAGTTAGGAGATGGCAAAGCTCTCTGAAGACCTCAAAGAAGCTTCTTGAGACCTCAGACTGCAGAGTCTGTAAATACCCTTGCATGTAGCAGGTAAGAGAGAATCTCTACGATGTGGAATTTGAAGTCTTTGTTTCACATGAGACAAAGCCAGGTTGATGGGAAGCATCTGCTTCAAGGCTACATTGTCTCTCTCAAGACAAGTGGGTGCCACGTTTGCACAATCGAGAGCACCCCTAAATGGTATAACCACTCAGAGGCTGACCACCATGTCCAGAATGTTTCTCTGTCTGCTCTGGCAGGACCACACTTCATTAGTTTTAACTTACAGAAAGGAAATTAAATGATAACATTTTTTTTCCCAAAGTACAACTACCCAGAATAGACTTTCAGTTTAAAATAAAACAGCATGTTTTTCATTAAATAATCCCCCAAAGAAATTTAAATGTAATGATGGCAGTCCTGGGAGACAACAAGCCTTAGATTACAAAGTCTGGGAACCGGAGCTCGCAACACCAGCCTGGAGATCTTCATCCTTGATGACATTTTACAGACGTCCTCTCAAGGGGCAGTCCATTTTGTAATTTTGGGGTGGTGTAGAGTTTTATTTAAACTCACATGAATTAAAAAAAAAACCTGAACAAAATTTAGAATATATATATATATATATATATATATATATATATATTACTTGAAGTCTTATTTGCAAAACAAAAAAGTTACTTTTTAAGTTCTTTTAAAATTACATGCCCTCAGACACAAGTAAGGTTGGTAGAGTTTACCACGTTATTTTTTTTTTTTTATTATTTTCTTTACTTCAAGTGGGGTTGTCTGTGCTATGCTGAAGGTAGATGGATTTTTATACTGAAAACCTCAGGTTCCTGGAGTTTGGCCTGACCATAAAAGACCTGGATAAAGATGGCACTGGTTTACGATGAGGGGATCTTGTTCAAAGCTAAGCATTCCATTCTGTTTCCTTTCCACTAACTGCAGTGCAAATGGCAGGAAGTGAGGGAACAGACAGGAATTGGTTCTTTAAGGCTGGGCAGTAACGGGCATGATTCACAAACCCCAGAGACGGGAGTACACGGGAAGGCACCACACATCTGGAAACAAACCTAGAAAGGCTTCCTTTCCTTTGTTCTTCCATGGAGACTTTTAGCACGTCAGATTTTGAACATCTTTTAAAGTCATACACGAGCACGCACGCACACACACACACACACACACACATGCACACGCACGCACACACACACCTCTACAGACTTGACTGTCAATATCTCATCCTTTCACGATGATATAAGGAAACAGGGGGCAGAAAATCTCAACTGACAATACCGTGCCATACACTCCACTGTGTGAAGACAGCCCTGTGGGAATGCTCCACATTCTGACAGAGCCCACAACTGGCTCAAAAGCTCTAAGAGTCATCCCTCATGTAGGCAGGAGAGTGATCTGTTTATCCCCGACCTGGGCTAAGCACCAGCCACTAAGGAAGGTGACATTTTGACTTAAAAGTCTAAATCTTGACTCATATGATCCTGGGAAGGAGTGCCCAATTGCATAGGGGCAAAGTAAGAAACTTACTTCCTCCCCTGAGGCCATGGCAACCAAGCAGGCTGGTGGCATCGTATCACTGTGGCCACTCTTCAGTCCAGTGTTACAGGACTACCACAGCAGAGTGACTTCAGGGAGCCTACCTTGATTAAGGAAAACAACAAGTGCCCAGAAACAAAGCAGAAAACAACCCAATGCCTAGGCACCATTGTACGTTCCGGGAGAACCCTCTGGAGGCTCACAAGCAGTGACCACCACCTCAGTATTCTCCTGAGCTCAGGGCATTCGTTGTTTTAATAGCCTTCACTACTTGGGAAACATCTGCACGATCTCATGGCTATTTCCATCTCCCTGCCCTGCATTCTCCTAGTAAACACAGAGCCAAGCCCATGTGGAAAAAGCATTTCGACACCGTGCAAGGCAAACTAAACCCCTAAGCTAAACAGTATCTTCACCCGTCAACCCTCGCCAGATGCATCTTCAAACACCCAATACAACCACAGATATAAAAAGACAAAACAAAAACCCAAACCCAGGGTGGGGTGGGGTGGGGTGGGGTGAGGGGTGGGGGCAGAGGG